TCATTGTTTATACGCCCACTTGAGCTTATCGTATTTTTATACATAGTATATTTGGGTTGGTGAGAGTTATAACAATTGAGTGTGAGCTTTCATTGTGTTCCCATCCATATTAGAGAACAATCATTTATTACAATTGTGCTTATTGTGAGATTCACTTTGTAATACACTTGTACACCGAGAGAAGTGTGACGAGTCGGGGATCGTCCCAAGAGGAGTGGCGTCGGTTGACGAACCTAGGGAGAGGTTGTAACCGAGCACTTGAGTGAGACACGTCTAGTTCAACACTTGAGAGGGTGTAGAGTGGGATTGTAAGAGTGGTGATTGTAAAGTTTTCGGTTAGCTAGAAAACCGAGTATGAGGTGTAAACTTTGTTCGGGTAAGCGTAGAAAATCCGGTTGTGTTAGTGGATTTCTCCCCGGGAGTGGGGAGCGGAGACGTAGGACGGAAGGTCCGAACTCCGTGATCATTTGATTGTGTTTGTGTGTGCTTTGGCGTTCATTTATATTTGTGTTCATTGCTCATATCGCATTTGTCTCATTAGTTAGTTTGTCCATATCTTTGTTTACATTATTTACCCTTGTGTTGTTTATATATCCTTGCTCATATATTTGTAATATCTCATTGCTAGGATATATTCATTAGTTCATATTGCTCATCCTAGCTCATATATATTGTTGTATTTCATTCTTACTAGGATAACTTGTTAATTAATTTTAATTGGCATAAAATCGGATTAGATTAGCATAAGACCCTAATCACCCCCCTCTAGGGTCTAACAATTTCTTCTAATCTGGATATTCCTATTGCTCATCAGAAAGGTAAACGGTTTTGTTAAATCATCATATATCTGATTTTGTTTCCTATGACCGTCTTATTCCATCTTCTCGTCAGTTTGCTTTGTCATTATCCTCTACATCTATACCCAAGTCATATGAGGAGACCATGTTAGTTCCTGCTTGGAAACAGGCCATGGATGATGAGATGGATGTACCTTTTCCTATGGGTGCTACTGTGGTTGGCTGTCGATGGGTATATACATTTAAGTATCGAACAAATGGTTCTGTTAATCGTTATAAAGCTTGTCTTGTTGCTAAGGGTTATACTGAAACTTATGTGATCGACTATCTTGAGACGTTCTCCCCGTTGCCCGTCTCAATTCTATTCACCTCATTTTCTCTATGGCTGTTAATTTGGACTGGACCATGTTTCAGCTAGATGCTAAAAATACATTTCTATATGGTGACTTACAGGAAGAATTCTATATGAAGCAACCACCGGGATATGTTGCTCAGGGGGAGAATACTGTTTATAGGCTTAGAAAGGCGATTTATAGTCTCAAACAAAGTCCACGAGCATGGTTTGAGAAATTCAGTACTGCTATATTTGGTGTTGGTTTTAAACAATGCCAGTCAGATCACTCGGTCTTTATCCGACGTACTATATCTAGTTTGGTGATTCTGGTCATATATGTTGATGACATCCTGCTAACTGGGAGTGACTTTGCTGCCTTAACAGAGACTAAGGAGTACCTTTCACGTCACTTTGTGACTAAAGATATGAGAAAACCCAAATACTTTGTTGGGATTGAGATTACATATCAAAAAGACCGTTTGCTTCTATTTCAAAGAAAATATGTATTGGACTTGTTAGAAGAAATGAGTCTTTTAGGGTGTAGGCTAGCAAGCACTCCAATGGAGGTGAATGTGAATCTGTGACGTGATAATAGTCTTCTCCTAGATGATGCAGGTCGATATAGGAGATTGATTGGCAAGTTGATCTATCTTACTATGACCATGTCTGATATTACTTTTGCAGTGGGAGTACTGAGCAGGTTTATGCATAAACCTAAAGAGGTTCACTGGACAGCGGCTCTGGGGATTTTAGCTTATGTTAAAAGCTATCCTGAAAAGGATTACTATATAAGAAACATGAACATTTACACATCTCTGTTTTTTCTGATGCTAGGTATGCGGGAGACATAGGAGATATGAAGTCTACTTCTGAATTTTGTACTTTTATTGGAGGAAATCTGGTAACTTGGAAGAGCAAGAAACAAGATGTAGTATCTCGATCTAGTGCAGAGGCAGAATACAGAGTTATGGCTCACACTGTTTGTGAGATGATATGATTGCAGAAGCTATTGATAGAGCTTGGTTTTGCTCAGCCTGGATCTATGCCTATGTATTGTGATAACTAGTCAGCTATCTATATTGCAAACAATCCAGTGTTTCATGGGAGAACTAAACACATTGAAGTTGATTGTAATTTTGTCAGAGATGCTTGGGAAAAGAAAGTGATCTCTTTTCAGTTCACTCCGTCTTCAGAATAGTTAGCTGACATTCTTACTAAAGGTACCTCACCTAAGGTGTTTTCCATTCTATGTAACAAGCTGGGCATGATTGATATATATGCTCCAGATTGAGAGGGAGTGTTGGAATTAGTATTGGGTTATCGGGTTAGGATCCATTAACCTATTTATCCATATATACTCCTATATATATAGACCCATGGTGATGAATAAAATATACAATTCTGATTTACCATCTTAACAATGTCAATATGGTACTGCTCATGTAAAAACTATTTGCAGATGGCGAGTATGATCAATGCCTGACCGTCCATTCACAAGGAACCTTGCTCCAGTGGAATACTTCTGCGCAACGGTCTCAAAATTAAGAACATCTTCCATTAACATTGTAGTCACGTTGATAGTAGAAATGAGTAAATAAGAAAGAACAAAAAGAAAACAAAGTAGAACAAGTTTAATAGAACTGGATCTCAACTCTCAGATACTGATGATCAGTGCTATTTTGACTATACTGAATGAGATATGCTTAACATCTGGATGCAATTTACGTTTGTAAACATGGGAAAACCATAAGAATGAAAACAAAGTTTTAGATCACTGCATCCTGTTGATAATGTACCGATCACAGCAACTCTAAGTTAGAGATGGTTAAGATGGAAAACTTCATATAGACATTCTGATAGACACTAGGACTTGGAGTTGAAAGGCTAGTATGGTGAATAATGTTAGTAAGTTTGGTAAAAAGGAAAAGGTTATCACATTTAATTGAAAAGGGTGCTCTTTTGAACATACTGAATGAGATATGCTAAGCATCAGGATACAATTTTACATAAACATGGGAAGAACCACTAGATGAAACAAATTCTAGATATATCTCCCGAGGTCACTGCACCCTGCTGCTAATCTACCTATCACATCAACTCTAAGTTAGAGATGGTTAAGAAGGATAACTTTCTATAGACATTCTGATGGAAACTAGAGCTTGGAGTTAAAAAGTTAGTATGTCAAATAATGTTACAAATCCAGTAAAAAGGAAAAGGTAATGACTTGTGCTTGACAAGGAATAGGTATAGGAAGAGGATGGCATTGATAGTGCAGAAAATTGGACCTGACAACTATACAAGAAGAAGACAAGGGAGAGGGGGGGAAAAAGAAGACTTAAGGAACAATTCCAGTGAATTTAGACTAAAAAAGTATGCATCTGATACCATCATTAAAGCAGAAACTTTTAGGACTCATATTTAACTGGATTAGTATGATGAATGCCATGCAACCTACTATATCTTACATGCATTATGCATACACTGATTAATGAGGCGTACAAATATCTAATACATATCTAGTACTTCGATACTCAAATACTATATGTATACATGAATACTCCCAAGACATATCCAAAAAAAAGTATAATCCCTCCTAGAATACTAGAACATATTCTATTTGTCTTGAAATTCTAAACAATTCTTTCCATACAGAAAGAATGTGTCCGTCAGTCTTCCTCTTTCAGTCACTGTTATGTTGCCATCTAACCAGTTATAGTCTCAGTTGAGTACCTAGCAGGGAACCATGTTCACACAATGACCGTTGCACAACTACCATCCTTCATAGCTGGAAAGGGCAACTGGAGTAGCACTATATGTTTATTGTCCTAGCCAGTTAGTCACTCCGTAACATATGTTCATGCAGACCCAAAGCCCCATCTTTCTTAACTTCGACAGTCAGATAAGTGCACTTGTTGCATCTGCTACATCATTACAGAGTACGGACCAAACAGCCTAAACTAAGAACGAAAAAAGATCAAAACCTCCATTCAGTCTAGTATTGGTCTAACAAGATGAAACCAATGCTCTACAGACTCCAATCAGTTCTCTTGGTGTGGGGTTCACTAGTCTTTGAAGCATATGCCTCTTCATTTGACGCATAACTGACGTGGCAGATGCACAAGAATAGGAAGTTGTTGCATTACATATGAAAATACCGTATTCTTGAAGATGACAGATGCAAATTTTAGTATGGGAGGAAAGGAAAGAGAGGCCACTGTAACACACACACACACATAAGAGAAGGATATTAAAAAATTCAGATGAATGTTAAATTCCTGATACAATTTTGTCTTTTTCATTTTCAGTTTTCCCTCAGTGGCGCAAAAAAAAAAAAAAAAAACTGAACCTAGTTGCGCCTTTCTCCACCAGAAATAATTGCATTACATGCTTAAATTAAACTGAAAATTCACTGGACAAGGAACTCCCAGAATACAAAAGGACAATTAAAACTGAGGATATACACTTAGTTCTTGCGGCTAGCTAAATTTGATCATCCTAATGATTCATCAAAAAGTCTTGAACTTTCAACAAGACCCATAAAATATAATGTATGGGATAACTGGGAAATTATTCCTTAGTGTACAACTTTCTCGAACAACTTAACAATAATCTCAGCCAATATTTGCCAATCAAATCCATCTACAAGCTACAATTATCTCTGAAAAAAAACTCCTAGTTTATTACCAAGAATACGCCACTGTAGTTAACTGATATCTTGGAAGTGTGATAATCCTGAATTCCTCACTAATATCTTTGTAACTATAAACTTAGAATGAGAATATTGTACCGAGAAAATTTAGCAGAAGAAGAAAAATAAATTGTTCATCACAGAAACTACATAAGACATCCTCTAGAACAAAGAGAAATACCTCCACATGTCATGAAAACTGTTACACAAGTTAACAGTACGATCTGTGTCTATAGACATGAAAGTTTGAACCTCTCCTTCAGAAAACTTTGAGCGTTCAGAAAGGCTAATATGCAGGCACTGTCATTTGCAAACCAAAAATTCAAGTAAGACTACACATACTTATGTCCAGAAGATATAAACTGAGAACAAGCCATATAAGAAACCTCCCATAAGCATTCACATACAGTACATTATAACTTATAAACAACAAACATCAAGAATAAATAAGCAAATAAATGAACCACCATAGACTTTTACAGGCAAACACCATATTGAGGGTATATTGGGCAAATTATTGCTGATATAACAGATAAAATCTGATATTTTAGGTATATCTGTTAAGAACAATACTCTATCTACCTTCATGTTATAACATTGAATGTTCAGGAATACATGTCATTTCATGTCATGTAGGAGACATTTCAAACAGTAGTGACTGATGACATTATCACAATCGTTATACCTCAGAAATGAGAAGAACCAAAGTTTCAAGCCCATGGAGGCTTGAGAATATTGTAAATTCTGTATGATTTTAATTCATTTAAGCTATCCTCTGGAAAGAACTCCTGATAATCATAAAACAAAATAATTAACAGCTCACTGAAAAGATTTTACTATTGATCTTTAAGCTATATATTATTTCAAATATATTGAAACACGCATCAAGAAAAGAATCATTTCATCTACAACTGAGCTGAATTTTATAATAGTGGCAAGATAAATATATAACATGTACAAAGAAGATAAATATTTTATGATATATTTCTAAAGTTCTATGATCTACAAGGAAAGAAAATGGTCAACTACGTTTCCAACAACTATGTGACTTAGCTGTTGAAGCCATATAAAGAATATTGTCACTTCCTTTTTATGGTATCACTTCCAAAGGAAAGAAGACTTAGTTATTGAAATAAAAAATATAATGACACAGGCATAAACAATACGAATTAAAACAATCGTCCGACCTTGTGATAAACCATCGTCATAAGGCTCGACCTTAGCTTCAACTTTAATTTCATTAGATGATAACTGTACTGTGTATCTAAGAAGGACCTGCACCACAGAAATAATTAGCAACCAGTTGTAAGGAGAAAAACTTAGCAGAGAAATAACTGTGAACCTTATTTTCTCTCCAAATATATTTAAGGCTCCTGCATCACAAGTCCTTTTTTATAAAGAATTTATGTTTTTTTGTAAAATTTGACAGGTCGTTCCTTAATTTTAGAGATGCATAGCTCCAGCTATGGGAAGAAACAATTATATATGCTAAATTCACCGATATTTGCAGAACTATCAGTTCCCTATTCTGCCTTCTTCTGTTCTACATCTCTCAAATGGTCTTCTCAAAAGTGATGCCATATAGCCAAACGTTTGATGTTGTCCAACCACCCTAGGCTACTCCTTCAGCTGACAGCTGGTCAGAAGAAGTGAGCTCTGATAGTTCCTGTTGCTCATATAGAAATTGCAACAGACTTGGAAGGACATCCAGTCTGATCAGCTTTATCGGACTCGTTCACATATTCAGGTCCAGATTCAATATTTGTTTGCATGTATACACAACTTGCAGTACTTATCCCTATCTACGTGCTTGATCTCGAAAGGACGGGCCAAGTCTAATCAAGATGGTATATTGTTTCATGATCATGCCTTGAAGGGAAGTCTGAAAAGTTCGGAGAGGATGTCGGCAAATGATAAGATTCATCTTTTCTGCTAGGAGGAGACAATAGGTAACCTTGATGCAGCCCAGAAAACCAGTCTCGATAAGCTTCGAAGCAGTACTACCCACTACTATCAGACAATACTCCATTGAAGTATATGATTGCCAAGGGCGAGATCACAATGTAGCTAACTTCCAAGGAGATTCGAGCATAATATCGTGATAGATCAATGGATCGTGATGGATCAATCATCAATCAGGTAGCAAAAGAGACTTGATGTTTCCAGGAAATTTCCTTTCAATCTAGTACATAAAATTCTCATTGGAACGTTGATCTCCAACCTCAAGCAAGTGGTTGAGGATCATGTGGAGTATGTGATGTTGTATCCATGGCATTATCAATTTGCTAGGCTTCAGTTTTTCTTTTCTACTTATGAATAAGGATGATTATGAGTTTATACATTTGCATACAAACTTTCATCCTCGAGTTCCATTAAAATTGCTATTGATGAAGAACTGGAGGGCTTAAGCCTGACATTTTCCTCGCCCCAAAAAACAAAGAAGAAAATCAATCTCAGTTTCAAGTATTTGAGGAAGTCGTATATATGTTGTTAGAGTATTTAAGTATTAGCTTCAACCCTCAAAAAACTTTAGAGTTTTACTGTTTCAACAGCTCCCCATCACATTGTCACACCTCAAAAAGACAATCAAATAAAGTAAAAAAGATCATGCACGAGAAGGAAATGCAGAGCACCATGACAAAGTTCTTTAATGGCATATTTAGCAACATGGAACATATAACTGTCATTAAATAAGTTCAAAGATTTAACTGGGTACTCGTTGGTAACTCCTTGCTATAATATCTTCCAACATAGAATTATGAATTCTTTTTAAACCATAACATTTCTTATCCACTGGACATACTGCATAAAAGATTTATCCATTTTAAAATTACATGTAAAACAGACAAAATCAGGCTGATAAAGAACTAGTATGCAGAACATTTGAGGAGAACATATTGCCTATATAGGTTACAACTTTACTAGTTCGCTCTGGTAAGCAGCTGTAACTTTAGTAAGAAAAATATTTGCAAAGGAAGTGCTATTGTTTAAACCACAAAATCTGAATGGTTTGACAAATGTGATCATGTAAATAAGAACAGGACAGAGCTGTTTATCATTAAGGATAATTGAGAAAAGCATGTACTTGAAGATAGAAGTCAGCCCCAGAGAAAGAGCAAGAATGTATCCATCTGTATGACCAGAACCTGACACAATAAATCAACAGGAAGATTCTGAAGAATTAACATTCTAATAGTATCAACAGTATGACGCTTTGACAAGAAAAGAAAAAAATATAAAGAACACAGCCAGATGCAATAAAAAATAAACATGTAACCAAAATACATGCATGAAGAACCAACAATGGACTAAACTGGTTTGATCGTATAAGCCTAAAGGTTCCTTCTGCAAACAGGAAGGTCTATTATATGGACTTACTTCATTAGACATTAGGTGCCCAAATAACTGCATTAACCTAAATCCATGAACGTATATGCAGGCATAGGGACAAGGTCATAATGCACAGTAGTATAAAACTGCAACTCATTACTAGGAGACCATAATGTTGTCACTTGTTATGGAAGTATTTTAGTTCATGACATACATAAATTCCATACTAGTTAGCGGCGTCAGCAATACAAGAGTAATCTGAAACCACGAACCTCTCAAAGGTATTATTGTCACCTCAGTAAGAAAGTGAAACTCACAAATAACAAAACAGAAAAGAGAAGTACAAAAAGGATCTAGATGATCATAAGTCAGGATGGTCAGCAACATCTGAAGAATATTTTGACTGAAACAAGAATGTCCTCAAAGCTAAGTATCAATCTCAAACCTCAGCAAAATTGTGCTATCTTCTTACAAGAACCCAATAATTCCAGTTAAAATTTCTGGACTTTATCAACAAGCTTAGCACAAGGAAACTTTTTTTTTGCATATTAACGGTGACAAGGTGACATAGCCAGTGCCTGCCGAACGCTCACTGAAATTTTTGTTTTTCACCTACTTATCTAATCCTAATATCCTGTGCATGTCATTCCTGGACTGCTCCCTTGACGCAGCCAACATAGATGTGCTGCTATATCATACCACATTCTCTTCCCCCACTGTTTACCACCACTCAATTAAAAAAATGAATCAAGAAGGATAAACATAAATTTATTATGTACATCACTCAAAACTGTGTCTAAACAATCCCTACAGATCACGATCCTTGAAAGGCTTTTGGTAAAAAATGATGGTTGCAACAGCGTTTACTTAGTTCAGCGGTTTTTTGAGTTCGTATTATTTGACTATGATTCCCGTGTATCCAGAGCCCTTGTCTCACCATCAAATTGATTACCATCATGCATTGAGATTCACAACTTCCTAGAAGCTCAAACAATTTTACTTTACACTAGTGACAATTTGTTTCATGATACCATGATACGGTTATCCTAAGCTATCAAATGCTATAAATGTTTTTCCAAAGTTTAATAACATCAAGTGTCTAACCAAACTGCTCAGCGTGATTCGAGATGAGTCGACAAGTTCAAACATACAGGCGGGTAGAGTGTTCTGATATACCGTATGCCATAATGGCCAATATAATGTTCTTTTGTACAGCATACCAACTCACATGAACACACATACCATTATCAGTTTATGTATCACCCAACACCCTATGCATATCAATGACTAGTATAACATCCTTTCACCAAAACTGTAAACATGAATATGGGATATATAAATCATTAGGTGCAACATGATCAATAGTTTTTGAAAATGTAGGAAATGTGTTAAGAGAAATGGTCAGAAACTGTACCTTTTTAAAGATTATTTTATAAAATTAAGAGGATGTTCAACAATATATGTTCCAAGATTAAACTAGAAGTCTTTAAGTATTCCAACCCATACGTGTCTGCAATGAAAAAAGTTTCTCATTCCATATTCAGAATTTATTAAATTAAGTAGACTGCTATAGTTAAAGCCATTACAAAATCTGCCAATTTATTATAGATTGTTTGATTTCTGTGAACAACCAACCATGACCCCTTTTACAAGCCCTACCGTAGAAGAAACAAGTATTCATATTACACAAGAATGTTATGTAAATGAACCAAATTGCATCCTTCTGCTTATCAGTTAAGTTTAGATAGAATTAAAACAAACCTACCTTGTTCAAGAAACCGAAGCAACCTGTTAAGAAGCAACGGGCCTAAAAAACCAATCGCATCATTTACTCCCTGCACATTTCAAACAATTGATACATATATAGTAATGGATATAACTAAACATATTTAGTCTTTTGAACCTATGAATATAAATGTTGATGAAGTATGCTGATGAAAGGTTATACAGAATTACTATCAGAATGACAGGGGCAGGATAAGCAGCTACCAATTCATCGAATGAAATATAAATTAGTAGCTCATACTAATCTAAAGTGAATTACAACTAGACATTGCAGTTTTCAGATGTAGAGGGATCACACTGGTAAGCAGGAAAACCATCACCTATACAATACAAGAGGTAAATTGCATAGGGCCAGAGATTATAGCCTCCCACAGACAAGTTATGAATTCAAAAGAGATTTTAGACAGTAATGAAGGCTAATAATAGGTCTTATAGACAGTTCAAAGCTTGTAGCTCTAATTGGTTGAACGTTCGATTATATTTTATATATAATTCATGAAGAGCTTACTAGTCAGCATTCACAATATAATCGCAGGTGAGGATGTTACTTTGTACATAGTACCTGAAGAGTTTTCTAGTTAGGGTTCATCGGGTAACACTCCACAAGAAGACACCTTAGACCCCTAACTTAGGATGTTCATACCGAACCACAATTACTCTGCATTCTCCAAAACATTTTAAATGAATTGATGAACCATCAATTTCCAACTCCCTACAATGTGATGGGAAGCGGGTGGAGGGGCGGACGGCTTTGATCTGGAGATGAGAAATCTTCCATGGCTTGGTGGAACAATGTCATAATTCATACAAACAGTAAGTGATATTACTGCTCACCTGTAAACAGTATGTGTGCTACTGTTTACCAAGCAAACAGTAATGTCTTTTGGGCAGCTGTTTGGTGGCTTTTTAGGTTTTTTTTTATTTTATATTTTTGAATGGTGGTGATCTTTTGATGAGAGGATAAATGGCTAAGATGCTTGAGGAGCGAGTTTTGATTGATGGATATTGTAATTGGAGGGCTAGGAGGAAAGAAGGGCTTCACACCCAAGGGCATCACACCCTGAAATTTCACGTCATAATTTTAGTACTTCACATGCTAACAAAAATTTCACATCTCAATAAATTTTCTTTTTATTAATCATAATCTAATTCCTCGTGGAGGATTAGAACTTTATTTATAGAGAGAAACTAAACCTAGAAAGTAAATCACATCCCAACCAAATCCTAATAAAAAGGAAACAAAGATAAAATCTCTAACAAAATAAATCTCAAATATCCTAACAATCCTAAATCAAATCCTAAGGAGATCTTTACCTAATATTGGAGATTACATCAAATATTACTAAAATAACAAAGATGCTAGTAAATCTATAAAATTCTTGATCAATGGCATATAATTGTCCTGCAGCAAATCTCTCCATGTTTGAGAAAACTCGACTTCGAGTTTTATAGCGGGAGAGTGTAATATGTAATTATTCAGTGGAAAGTCTTTCTTCGAAGGCAGGAGGAGTTTCAGAGAAGTTGTAGAACCCAACATTGTGTTGGCGCTGGAGGGTCTGGGATAAAAAAACTCAACAATCAAATTAGTACTGATACGGGTTTATCTTCTTCCTTATTTCGGGAGCTTAGCGATCCTCATGGGAGCTTGGGGATAGATGATTCTCATGGTATCTTGAGAATAAAGACGTGGACGAAGTCGTTGAAGGCGGCAACGTCGAAGAGTACAAGAAAGCTGCAGGAAACACTTTGGACTTCCAGCGGTCGACCGCACGTGACGACGCAGTCGACCGCGAACGTGCACAGCTCATGGAAAGTCTCTGAACTTTTCGCGATCGATCGCGACGTACTCTGCGGTCGACCGCCAAAACCCTGTAGGCGATTTTGGTCTCAGTCGTTTGCCACGGTCGACCGCGATGGGTTCTGCAGTCGACCGCCAAACCCTGTAGTCGATACTGAGTTTCGGTCGTTCTGTCCAGTCGACCGCATGTGTCTCTACGGTCGATCGCGAGTCGGGCTAAGCCAGACTTCCAGTTTCCTGTTCGCTTTAGGTTTTGTGTTTGACATATATTAAAACACGATTTTTATAAGGTTTTCTAACCAGATTGTATTCAGAAAGGAGATCAGTGAGATTGTTCTTTGATATAGAGAGATTGTGAGAGAGAGATTTGTAATCTATAAGAAGCTAGGCGATTAGATCGTGATATAAAAAGATTGTGAGAGAGAGATTTGTAATCTATAAGAAGCTATGCGATATAGAGCAATTGTGAGAGAGAGATAATTCCACGATCAAGGGTGCTCGTCCAACGACTCGCACCAAATTGGTATCAGAGCGATTAGATCCTGTGAAAGGGGGTCCTGTATATGGTCCTTACTCGATCGCAATGCAAGAAGCTAGGCGAGATCCTTATTTCTTTAGAAGGAATTCAGAGATTAAAGAAGAAGAAGATGACTGAAGGGGATAGTTCAATAAGACTAGATGCATTGGAGAAACAGATGGAGGCAATGGGTTCGACACTCACACAGCTCGTCAATCTTTTCTAAGGAAAAGACAAAAAAGAGGAATCTTCTTCGAAAGACAAGAAGAGACTTGTAGAGTCCGATGGGGAAAGCGAGGAATTTGATTCTGAAGAGGAGGCCAAAATTATCAAGATTGTTCCGTATCAAGGGGGTAAGGGTTCTTACCAGAATTTAAAAATAGACTTCAAGATGGAGATTCATGTTTATGATGGGAGTGTCAACGTCGAGAGGCTCGATGATTGGATCGAGCGTATGGAGACATATTTTACCCTCTACGGATATTCATCCAAAGAGAAACTCGTGTTCGCGACTTTGAAGCTTTCGGGACATGCATTGACATGGTGAATATCCTATTACAAGCAGGAGAAGAAGGCGGTGTCGTGGAATAAGTTCAAAGAGCTACTAAGGAAACAATTCTACCCGATGAAATTCCTTGAGAAGCGTTGGTACAAGTGGTACGTCTTGCGCCAAAGAGTCAATCAAACCGTTCAAAAATACACCACAGAGTTCCAGCAGCAGGCGATGGTCCTCAACATTTCAACGGAGGAATATTCTATGTTTATGAAGTATATGACGGGATTGAGCGATTACATCCGGAAGGAGATGAAGTTATTCACGGTGGACTCTACTGCAGAGGCAGAGGCGAGCGTGAAGGCTATTGCTATCGAAGGCAAGCAGAAGAGGAGCAACAAATCCAAAAGAGAGGCTAAACAAGCAGGAGGCGAGTCTAGTGGTTCTCAATCTAAGGAGGAAAAGAAAGGTGATCCAGGAAAAGCAGGGTTGATTTGTAGTCATTGCGAGAAGACAGGGCACGTAGCTGATCGGTGCTGGGAGAAGTATCCTCATCTCAAACCAATGGGTTGAAAAAGAAGAAGGAGAAAAAGACATACGTGATAGCTCAAGTTCCGAAAGAAGTCCCGGGGATGACAGAACCAAACAATAGTCTCAATCTTATGACGGGAAAACAGATCACGAAAGAGAACGACGATCCTAGAGAGCAGCTCTTTGTTCTTAAGTTACAGGTGAAGACCAAATTGGTAGATGCCATAGTTGATCCAGGCAGCGAGAAGAATTTGATATCCGAGGTCTTGGTTCAGAAGATGGGTCTGAAGACAGTCAAACATCTAAACCCCTATCCATTGGGATGGATTCAGAAGGAGACTGTACTGAGTGTAGTTAATCAATGTACTTTCAGATTTACGCTCCATGAGTCGTATAGTGACGAGGTCACGTGCGACGTAGTTCCATTGGATGTTTGTCAGGTTATACTGGGTAATCCCTATTTGTGGGATATATACGCAATCTACGAGAAACAAGCTCAGAAGTACACATTCACCAAGGATGATAAAAGTTCATATTTTGTTCGTCGTCTCTTCCGAAGGAGACAAACTTGGTGACGGTGAACCGAACGAAGAGGTTAGTGAATGCAAGCAAGAAGTTTGTTGCGCTATGTATTAGTTCTTATGAGAAGCCACTGAAAGAGGGTTACAATTTGGAGCGGAAGGTGACTACGATGAGACGCAGGACGAAGGAGTTGTTTCCGATCGGAGGTCGAGACCAAATTCCTAGCAAGGCCAAGTGGTTCAGAAAAAAAAGGCTCGCGAGTTCCCTTAGCTTCAGTTCTAACTTGAATGGGACTTCAAGTTCCTAAAGGGAGGGAGCCATGATAAGGATGTATCTTCTTCCTTACTTCGGAAGCTTATCGATCCTCATGAGAACTTGAGGATAGATGATTCTCATGATATTTTGAGAATAGAGACGTAGACGAAGTCGTTGAAGGCGGCAACATCGAAGAGGATAGAAAAGTTGCAGGAAACACTTTGGACTTCCAGCGATCGATCGCACGTGACGTCGCGGCCGATCGCAAACGTGCACAGCTCAGGGAAAGTCTCTGTACTTTTCGCGATCGATCGTGACATTCTCTGCGGTCGACCGCCAAAACCCTGTAGGTGATTTTGGTCTCAGTCGTTTGTCACGACCGACTACGATGGGTTCTGCGGTCGACCGCTAAACCCTATAGTCGATACTGAGTTTCGATCATTCTGTCCGGTCGACCGCATGTGTCTCTGCGGTCGACCGCGAGTTGGGTTGGGTAAGACTTCTAGTTTCCTATTCGCTTTTGGTTTTGTGTTTGATACATATTAAAACACGACTTTTCTAGGTTTTTCTAACAAGATTGTATTCAGAAAGGAGATCAGAGAGATTGTTCTTTGATCTAGAGAGATTGTGAGAGAGATTTATAATCTATTATTTCTCATAATCTAGAGAAGGTATTTTCCTTCGACCAACTCAATTTTTATATATTTCTTTTGTCTTCTTCACAACCCACTCTTGATAATTCCGCGATTAATGGTGCTCGTCCGACGACTCATACCAAATTGGTATCAGAGCGATTAGATCCTGTGAAAGGGGGTCATGTATATGGTCCTTACTCAATCGTAATATAAGAAGCTAGGTGAGATCCTTATTTCTTTGGAAGGAGTTCAGAGATTACGGAAGAAGAAGATGACTGAAGGGGATAGTTCAACAAGAC